AGGTTTTGACCCAGTACCCCTGTTTTCTAAATAAATAAGGATATGACACCAACATTTTAGATACCATTGATATTCCACAATTCCAATTTTGATACCACAACAAAAACTACCAGCCAAACTAGTATACATTTCAAAGATTATTAAAGGCAACAGTCAGTAATAAAACAAGAACAAATAAACAAATCACAATCAATACCACCAATAAATACAATAATAATGAATAATAAGATTAAAATAACATTGCATGGTCTTCACTGTATTAATGCACTGGCATTGGGCAGTCCTTTATGTCAAGCCCTATATTATAAGATATACTGATATACTGTATTAAATTATACTGTAAAAAAAGATGATTAGTTAGTGGGCTAAACTTACTGTAGGTAACGAAGTACAAGAGGAGTTGCTATATTGTGAATATTCTGATTATATATATATACTGTTGAGTATATATATATATATAGTATGTCAAGAAATAGATGTAAAGAAAGAGCTCAGGAAAAGACCTGCCAGTCTACCTGCACGAGTCCACTGAGCGAACGACATTGACAAGGCATTGCACGCTGAACTAAGTATCCCCTTTTTTACTTTCATATTCCCTAGTAATACTCATTTGTTCATCTCTGTTGTCCATGGCAGACAGAAGTACAAGCACCTCAGCATACAGAAGTACACTCCAAGATACCTATACGTCCCCTTGCCACCAGCCTGTTTCCCTCTCCGTCGGGCTGTGGAAATGTCAATCGGCTGTCAACAAAGCTGACTTCATTTCTGCTTTTGCCTGTCAGTCAAAACTGAATGTTTTGGCTCTGACTGAAACATAGATCTCAGCAGAGAACCCTGCCACTCCTTTAGCCCTCTCCACTGACTTCACTTTCTCCCACGGGGGGACAGGTCTGCTCATTTCCGACAGCTGGAAATTCTCTCATCTCTCTTCTCCCTAATTATACTTCTTTTGAATATTATGATATCACTGTTACTAATCCTGCCAAACTTTATCTTATTGTCATCTACCACCCGCCAGGTCAACTAGGCAACTTTCTTGAAGAGCTGGATGTGCTACTGTCTTCTTTTCCGGAAGATGGCACGCCGCTGGTAGTTCTTGGTGACTTCAACATCCACCTAGACAAACCTCAAGCAAATGATTTCCTTACTCTTCTAGCCTTGTTCGACCAGCGCACCGCTGAGATACACAAAGCAGGCGAAGAGCTAGATCTCATCTTCACATGCAACAGTACGATTGATAATCATTTTCTTACTCCACTATATCTTTCTGACCACTTCTTTCTCCAGTTCTCTGTCACTCTGCCTTCATGCTCACCACTGAATCCTCCTTTGCCACTGAATTCTCTATTTCCTACACACTTTTCCTCTGTGGTCTCTGCACCCTTTCCTGCCACTAACCACTTATCTTCTCTGGATTTCAAAGAAGCAACAGACACTATAGACAGGCCCTATTTTAACGATCTAAGCGCATGGTCTTAAACGCACGGCGCAAGTGCACTTAGGGCGTGTCCGAATCCACTTTTGCTAGTTTAACGACTGGAAAAATGGTCGGCGCACTCGGCGCATGGTCTAGAAGGGTTGTCCCTATTCTCTTAATGAGTAATGGGTGTGTTTTGGGCGTAACGTGCAATAAACCAATCAGAGTCTCATCTCATTCCCTTTAAAAGACAGTTGTGCTCGCGCCATAGCGGATTCGCTATTTACATGGCGGAATTTGCAAGCGGAAAAACTGAACGCTTCTCTAGCGAGGAAACAGATCTGCTCGTACACGAGGTTAAAGTGAGCAAGCAGGCCATCTACGGGACAAAGTGTATGGACGTTGTGTACCCGCCTATAGGCGACATTACAAACGCGCTCTTTAAATAACAAAAAAATATTGAGATATTGACTTTAGACCAGGTTTCAGTTGGTCAAAGGCGCAGTCTATTTCAGTTGTCTCAAAATAGCAACACGTCAACAATGCGCCTTCAGACCAGCAGCCCATGGGCGTTTAAATGTAAGCAAATGCATTTGCTATTTAAACAACGTGGCCGAGGACGTGAAAATGATAACTGCGTCGGGCTGAAACTAGCAAAAAACACTTGCGTCGTGCCTGGCGCTGCATTGCGCTGGGTGTAAGATAGGGCCCTCTATGTTCCACCTTAACATCATGCCTGGATAACATCTGTCTTATCACATTCATGCTAGCAAATGTGTCACCCTCCAGCCCCTGACTCACATATGTTCTCCGTGACCATCAAACCAAGCTCGGAGCTGCTGAGAGGAGAAGGGCTCAAGACTTAAGACCCAGCTAACCTAAGGAAGTATCATTCAATCCTACCTCCTCTTGTGTTTCTGTCACTTACTCACAAAACAAAATCAGCAACACCTCAGACAAATGGGAACTTTTCACAACATTCTCCTCTCTACACTGTCCCCCTCCTCCACCTCTTCCCTGACTGATGACTTTGCCAGATATTTGACCAATAAGGTGGCAACCATCAGCAATTAGTTCTCTGTACCACTTATCCACAACCAACCTCCACCCACACACATTTGACTCTTCTCTTCCTTCTCTCCCCTCTCAGAGAACAAGTTCTCCAAAGTTCTCTGTTCCAGCCATCCTACAACCTGTTCCTCAGACCCAATCTCCTCCCACCTTCTACAGGAGATCTCACCAACATCGCTATCCGCTCTGACATTCTCAACACATCCCTAACTACTGGCAACTTTCCCACCTCATTTCAACAGGCCCAGGTAACCCCACAGCTCAAAAAGCCAACACCCAATCATACAGCAGTTGACAACTACAGAACAACCTACTAGATGACAACCAATCTGGCATCAAAACTGGACTCTTCATGGAGACTGCCCTGCTGACCATTGCTGAAACTATATGGCTGGCAAGAGTGAACTCCAGATCAGCTCTCCTTATTCTACTAGACCTGTCAGATGCCTTTAACACTGTAAACCACCAGATCCTCCTGTCTAACTTATGCATCACAGGTGCAGTACTTTAGTGGCTTCAGTCTTCCCTCACAGGTAGATATTTCAAGGTCTCATGGAGAGGAGGGGTATCTGCCTCACACCAGCTGATCACTGGGGTGCCTCTAGGTTCAGTGCTCGCTCTTCATGATTTACACAACTTCACTAGAAAAGGTAATAGGCACATGGCTTCTCCTACCACTGCTATGCAGATGACATGCAGCTTAATCTGTCATTTCAACCTGATGATCATACTGTTTTAGCTTGTATCTATGCCTGCCTTTCAGACATTTCTGCCTGGATGAAGGAGTGTCATCTACATCTCATCCTTGCAAAGATGGAGCTCCTTGTAATTCCTGCAGACCTGTCAGTTGACCACAACATCACTGTGCAAATGGGGTCTACAACACTGACGCCAACCAGGAAAGTTAGTGTTGATTCAGTATGATTGCACCACATTGCATTATAGGTTTGAGCTAGGATCATAAAACTAAGCATTTAAATATCATCTGACTGACAATAAGACATATTTTTGGGAGATTTACAGTGACAGCTGATGTTTATATGCACTTTATGTAAGTAGGCATGCTGTTAAAAAGATATTATTTGGCCATATAAGTATTCACAACTGCACCAAATTGCATATTTTTTCTCAGTTTGGGCCTCTGAATAAAACGTAGGTGTTTTTTTCCCTCCTTAAGTGTGAGCTCCATAATCTCATTATACGTGTCACGGTTATAGACTCTTATTTAGATATTCTGTTTTGTTTCCCTTAGTTCCTGTTTCCCTGCTCTGATAAGTTTCGGTTTCCTTGGTTTCTGATTATATCCCTCCACCCCTTCGGCTCCACCAGGCTCCTTCTTCCCTTCGGCTTCCCCGTCATCCTCACTCCCTCCTTCACCACGGTCTGCCGAGCCTCCGTCTCAGCCTCGGCCCCCGTGAGCCAGCAGCGGCTCCACCTTGGGCTTCCGGGCCGTGGATGTTGCCATGACCTGTTGGCCTCTCAGCTCCGCCTGGGTCTCCATCACTTTTGTCTCAACCTCCGTCAGTCAGTCTCCAGGTTCTGGCTCGACTTTAAGCCAAAGCTCCACCCTGGCTCCTCCCACAGTCATCTCCGCCGTGGTGTTTCGCTCTACTGGCTCCTCCTGATCCCTGTCCATTACCAGTTCAGCGCCCTCCTCCAAAGCCCCCTCCCTCCACAGGATTATCAGTTACGCCGCGAGGATGCAACTTCTGGGAGGGGAGACTATACTGTCACGGTTATAGACTCTTATTTTTATATTTTGTTTTGTTCCCCTTAGTTCCTTTTTCCCTGCTCTGTTTAGTTTAGGTTCCCTTGGTTTCTGATTATGTACTTGTTTGTTTCGATAGTTACCGGTTATCCCCAGCTGACTCATTTAGTTCTCAGTGTATTTATACTACCTGTGGTTATGTCCTTTGTCAGTTATCGTTGTAGTTTAGTGTGTATTTCCCCTGTGTATTTTCCTGGTTAATTAAAGACTCCTTGCATGTTGTATCTGCGTCAAACATCTTAGATTGCGAAAACACAACACGCTACAATATAAGCCATAAAAGCTATATATATACAGAGATTTTATAATAGAGACTATTATTTCAAATGTCAGGCTAAAATTAAAGCATGGGTTCTGTAAAATGTTACACACTTAAAAGCATCCAAACAAAAACGTAAAAGCCAGGCCTCACATTTGTCACTATTTTTAAACACCTTAAAGAGTTGAAAGAACTGCCACAAACTCTACTACTACAATACATACTACAGTACTATTCAACAACTTGAAGGCAACTTATGTGATTTAAAAAAACACAGCTGCTTCAAAACTCCTTAATGAGGCATGACGGTGTGTAATTTATGTCGCAATATTCACTCAACAGCTCTATTGTCAGTATAAGCAAATTAGGCCACACAAGGCAACGTACAGAACAGTATCAGCATCTGACTAATATCTACCATTTTGCCTGTTTGTGTGTGTGTGTGTTTTACTGGATGTGCAAAACCTTTATGCAGTCATTACCTGTGGATGATGTGTTTGTTGCGCAGATAGTGCAAAGCCAGGGTGATTTCACACACGTAGTGCTTCACAGTGCTCTCTGTAAAGTGCACATTCTGTTGTAGATGGTAACGTAGATCTCCTCCCAGCAGCAGGTCAACTACCATGAACATGTCCTCTTCGTCTTGAAATGAGTACCTGCATTAGACAAATCATGACAGTGTTGTTATCTTTGAAATCCAGATTTTAATTTTGAAGTCCAAATATGCGGCCGAAAATGAATTTTTGGTTTTGGCAGAAACAATTTTGAAGGACTGAAATCATTGACCAAAGTGGTGACATTTAATGAAGTGCTTCTTCAATGCAGTGTTTTGACTGTATTGTCTACTGGGTTGACAATACCAATTTGTATTTTGAACAAAACTTCACAAAATAATATGTGTTATCACAATATGCTTTGTGCTCAGTAACTTTGGATATGAAACAGTCTGAGCTTTCAAAATTTGTCAATTTCATCACGAAATTCAAACAATAGATTTTGACACATGACAGATCGCTATAGCCGCTGTTACACCGAATACTGTGACAAGTGCGCCTACTACGGTCACAGAATTCGATGGTCACAGAAATCGGTGTATCATCTCAGTTCAAGCGGCAGCGAGGAGGGCAGTGAATTGATATAAACATATATATAGTATAATATAAACATGATGAACAAGATTGTATTACAGCCATTGTTTAAATATTTATTCATGTTTAAATATGCATAATAAATTGGAGTATAAACATTTATATAATTCAAATGTTGATGTAAAAACTGCCTTATGTGCAATTTAAATGTTTATATACAAATCAGTTTTGGTCGATTATTAAATTAATTTGATGAATTAGTTGATTATTAAACACACCTTATTTTCTGTGTCGGTTTTCAGTTTATTAAATTCGGAATAATGTAAGTGCATGTAAAATAAAGTGCAGCTGGTATACTTATACACATGCTTGTTAAAGGGTAACTAAACACTAAACCAACTTTTTTTAATTAATGATCTGTAAGACTGGGGCTTTATTAGAGCTGTTCATTGATTCAAGTAAATCTTTTGACATTTGGGTATAAAGTGTTTTAATTCTACAATATATGGTGTAAAAACGTCTGAGTGCTGCCCTCTTCAGGTTGAACGGTGGCTACTGCAGTTGAATTTTCCTATTGGATGTTTGCGGTAGTTCGTGACGGTAGCGGTGAGAGCTGACGTAAGCAGGTTTCAGCTCACCACGCCCTTGGTACGAGCTACCACGCCCATGGCAGTATAAAAACCATCTTGTTTCGTCAAAACCACTGTAGCGAGTCAGGAGTTGGAATTGCGAGTATTGAAAACGATCAGGATAGAGTATCCGTTCATCCCCTCTATCTCCGCTGGGCTCCGCCCACTTTTCCAGCATTTTTCAAATATTGCCAGTGGGTGGAGTCAGGCTCTGACCAGGGGTTTAGTTACCCTTTAATGCCAATATCTACTAAACCAATCATGTGGCAGCAACCCGATCCTTCTTGGGCAGAAATGTGATCGAAGTGACTTTGACTGTGGAGTGATTGTTGGTGGCAGTCAGACAAGGTGGTTTGAGAATCTCAGAAACAGCTGATCTGGGATTTTAATGCACCGTAAACAGTCTTGAGCTTACACTGAATGCACAAAACTAAACAAAAAAACACCCAGTGAGCGACAGTTCTGTGCCTGAAAAGGCCTTGTTAATGAGAGAGGTCAAAAGAGAATGACAAGACTGATGACCCGCCTTGTGTGTTCCAGCAGTTCAGGCTGGCTGTGGTGTAATAGTAGGGTGCCATATCACAAGCCTCATGTTGTGTAAAGTTAGTTACCCATCAATCAATCATTCAGTGACTGACATATATAAATCAGCAAACACTCATCATATTTTGAAAACGCTCCCTTCGCACCGTGCCTCCCCAACTCAAACATCTTAAACACAGCTCTTACAGGTGCTTGTGAAAGCATGTCTCAGTATGTAAAAGTAGACTTCCTACAATAAAATTTCCAACATATTAGGAATACATTTAGCTGTGCTGCTATGTGTCACGAGTAAGCAATTGAGAAGGCTAACACTGTCTAAAGTGAATGCGTTTTGCACTGGCCGCATTTTTTGACATGATGCACCACAACAATTTGAGCAGAAACATCATAAACCGGAACATTTGTCTTTCTGAATAGGTGCATGCAAATGTTGTATTGAAGCGTCCATTTTAGCACATTTGATCGCTTTGCAATGCCCCATTCACTTTGACATGCTCATGACCAATAACCAGTAATGTTGTGCTGTTGCAACCCACAGCCAGGCTTGTGACATAATCAAAAGCCCAAACTCCAGTGGTTGGATGTTTGCCTGCGAACGCTTTCCTACATGACCACTCAGTTCCTGCTACGTTCTTTATTTATACAATTAAATAAATTGTCTTGATTTATACCACGTTATTCATATAAAGGGACTCATGGGGAGGGACTAATGTCTGCACTGAATGTGAGGATTGAAAACAATCCTGCCTGCTTCTCCTATGGCGGTCTTTTAGTTCTATATTGCTGAGTCAACTGAGTTTGGATGTGCTAAAAACTTTATGCATCACATAAAGCTGAATGAAGCCGTCACACCTGTGAGCCAAAAACTATGTCGTCTGCCACTCTCTGTTTGGAGTGCTGTGTCAGAGGAATTAAATCACTTGCAAGAAGATGGAGTGATAGAACGCATCGATGCCTCTGAATGGGTGTTACCAATTGTTATGCAGAACAAGTCAGGTAAAATTAGGATATGCGTTGACCTCAGAGAGCCAGATAAAGCAGTGATCTTGGACTCTTTTCCATCTTTTCCATATCATTGACCTGACTAATGCTTACTACCAAGTGCTGCCGCATGAGGACCGTCCGGACTCAGAATGCCCTTGCTGGTTATCTGTCACGTTTGCCCTTCCCTGCTTCTCCTGCAGATAATGCTGTTGCTCAAGCTCCTGTTGATGATGTTGAGTGTTGCTTTTCTACCTGACGCCTCTAATTCTCTGTCTGCTGCTAATGTTGATGCTGCATGTGGATGGATGTCCTTTGACAAAGAGTAGGGGTGTAACCTTGGCATCCTGGCCAAATTTGCACATTTGGCTCTGTCCATCATGGCCTCCTAATCATCCCCATATACTGATCACTCGGACTCCTCTCCACCAATGAGCTGGTGTGTGTTGGGCGTTCTGGCGCAATATGGCCGCCATCGCATCATCCAGGTGATTAACCACACTTTGTACACAGATTTCTAATTGTTGGACGTTGAGTTGTTGTAATACTATAAACTGTGACTTGGACCGTCTGTTAAGGACAACTTCGTCTTCCGAGGCTCACAGCTGATTGTACCTGCTTCTCTTTGATCTGTGCTGGTCTCCATAGCAGATGATGGACATCAGGGAGAGGTGAGAACCAAACAATGCCTTTGTGAACTCTATTGGTGGTCAGGGTACTGATGTGTGCCACGTGTGTCTGCTCAATGACAAAACTGTCAAGTCACACCTGCTCTTCTCCAGCCAGAGCTGCTGCCAGATGGACCATGGCAGAAAGTGGCTGTGGATATAGTCGGGCCATTTGACACTGCTGCATCCCACTATACTGTAGGTTTGCTATAACCTTAACTGACTATTACTGCAAATGGCCTAAGGTCTCCTTTACTCACACTGTCACTACAGATTCTGTGGTTTCGCTTCTGTCATTAGTCTTCAGTCTTCCATTGAGTGTAGTTACAGATAACAGTGTTCAGTTTACATCTGCTGCTTTTGCTGTTTTTCTGTAAGGAAGGAATATTCGTCACCTTCGTTCCTCTCTACGTGGCAGCTAATGGTGTTGTAGAGAGGTTCAACCATGTGTCTCAACACACTGTCTAAACGGCCATCCAGAAACATCTGTGGTAACTGATTTCTTGCACATGCTGAGACTGGTCCTTCACCCAATCAGCTTCTCTATGGCTGGTAAATGTGCACAAGGCTGTCTATTTTGCCATCTGCTCCTGTGCTCCAGCCAACTGACACGACTGTTCGTGAAGGGTAACGCAACTGCAACACAAAATGTAAAAGTACACAGATGCTAAGTTTGTTTCCATGAGGGGGATACAGTGAGGGTATGGATGTTCCTACGGGACAAGTTTACAGATCCGCTCACGGTTGCCAAAAGACTTGGGGTGGGTACATCCGTACTTAGACGAGGAGTTCTTCCCATCTCACCGCATTTCCATCCACACCAACAACTCCTTTTGTGTTCAGCAGAAGAAAGAAATTCAGACAGGTTTAGAACAACTTGAGGTTGAGTAAATGATGACAGATCATTTTTGGGTGAACTTTCCTTTTAATATTCATGAGGGACTGCAGACATCCTCGGTTTGAAAGTGAAAGTTCTCAATGCATGAAGTAAAGCAGGAGCAGAAGAGATTGAACTCAGCAACTATCTGCCTTAAACTCATCTGAGTAGTCTCAGTGTGGACACAAATACAACACAGCCTGAGGGTTTTTAAGCGAGATAACAACAATCTGGCCATCTTCAGATGTTCTCATATTATTGCTTAATGTCTGTGTGAAACTTGTATGAGTCATCTAAGTGAACATGCTATACTGAACATGCTCATTTGGATGGGGACATCTCATCATTTCCAAGGAGACTCTACATTGTAATCTTCTAAAATATTAAAGATGCAGTAATGTTATTTTAGACAGAAGAAATTAGAGCATTGCTGGTCAAGATCAAAATTCATGAGGCACTTACTGTTAGATTTTTCTGAAGGTGCTGTGGCTGGTTTTTAGGACATTGCTATGATGTGGTTGTTTTTAGCAGGTTGTTAAGTGGGTGCTTTGGTGTCCTGTGTGGCAAGTCTCTATGATATTCTGGTGTATAGTTATGGCTCTGTCCTATAGGATTGTTTTTCCCGTTTCATCATTCACCAGTCAAAAAAAGATTACTGTTTGTCCTATTGTATTTTTAGAAAATCGACAAGCCACACAATTTGAGAAACCATAGCAGAGAGAGAGCAGGGTGAGTTACAGTCCTAAGTTGGCTTTAGTCAGTTTACTGCTCTCTGTGAAATTATTTAACACCCAAAAAAGCATGTCTTAACCCATTTTGTGCTTGACATGGCTGCGAAAGTTTCTGCGAGGAGGATAAACCACAGAGAAC